TATACCATTTCGGTAGCAAATGACGTGACAAATATCTTTTGTTTTATACATTTTGCCATGAGATTCGTATTTCAGGCGCTAGGTAGACAATTTCACGATTTAGGCGAATTTCCGAAATTTCAAGGCCGGAGTTGGGGTTGAAGATGCAATCCGATCTCAAAACAAAAAGTTGCATTGGAATCATTAAGTACTAAGGCGACTTTTCCGCACTATTAGAAATCCCGAATCGAAACAGGGTTCCATCTGCGGTCCATATATTTGGAACCTTATGATGGACACTCTGCTTGGGCAGCTCGASCCACTCTGTAAGTGTTGTGCGTATGCGGACGACCTTCTTCTTATGGTCGAAGGTCGCTCGCGGTCTGAGTTAGAGCGCGCGGGAGGAGATCTCTTAGAGATCGTGAATATTTGGGGTGTAAGTGTGGTTGTGGACATATCGAGGGAAAAAACGGTGACAATGCTGCTTAAGGGCAGATTGTCACCGGTTCGTCCACCGATTGTCCGTGYRAATGGGGTCAGCATCAGATATGTGACGCAAGTCAAATATCTGGGGTTGACTATGAGTGAAAAGATGTGCTTTACTCCACACTTGGCGTATGTGAAGGAGCGACTGCAGGCAACTGTAGGCAAAATACGCCGCATTTTGAGGAGCGGTTGGGGTCTCGGACGTCGTGCTGTCCGCACCGTATATTGTGGCTTGTTTGTGGCTTGTGCCACATATGGAGCCTCTGTATGGTGGGAGACAGCCACGACTGTCTGGGGGTCTCAAAAACTCCTCTCAATCCAGCGTGGTATGATGCTTTCTTCTTTGCCTGTATGTCGCACCGTCTCAACGGATGCGATGCAGGTTTTACTAGGTGCACCCCCTCTTGACCTGATTGTCATACAGCGTGCTGTTGCATTCAGGTTGAGAAGGGGTTTGAGTGTGTCAATGCTGCGGAACGACTGGATTTCCGACGATGATGTGGAGAGGGAGGGATATCTAGGGAGCAATTGGCTCCTAGATGATAGGGTTTGGCGTAGGTGGCAACAACGTTGGGACAACAGTCCTAACGGCCGAGTGACGTACGAGTACATTCSGGACGTTGGGTTCGTTGAGGATAACCCAGACTTCAGATTTTGTCTGARTCTGGGTTTCCTCCTTACGGGGCATGGGCCTCTGAATGCATTTTTGCATCAGAGGCACCTATCAGATACGTCGGGGTGTTTTTGTGGGGCGGGGTTCGAAAATTGGTCGCATTTAATTGCGGAGTRCCCGATGTACTCGGACATTAGGGATCCGCTGTACTTTTGAGTGCCGCGGAGTAAGGCTGTCGTCAGCAGGTACCCACGTTAAACACACTGGACGTTGTCAACAGTGACGTAAGAGCCTAGTCGCGAGTGCGACGACTGTTTGTTTGATGACATGAGATATTTCGTCTTGCCCTCGTTCACTGCCAAACCCATTTGTGTTGCTTCCTTGTCCAGTCTGGAGACAGCAGAACTAAYGGCGCGGGTGTTGAGGCCAATGRTATCAATATCATCGGCATACGCCAGCAGCTGTACACTCTTATAGAAGATGGTACCTTCTCTATTTAGTTCTGCAGCTCTAATTATTTACTCCAGAAGCAGGTTGAAAACGTCGCACGATAAGGAATCGCCTTGTCTGAAACCTCGTTTGGTATCGAAAGGCTCGGAGAGGTCCTTCCCGATTCTGACGGAGCTTTTGGTGTTGCTCAACGTCAGC